TGTATACTAAATGACCATAGTAGAGACAATTCTCCAAAAATTTGATTATAAATACGCGTTGGTGGTTATATATATTTGTGTTTATGAATCTCCAAGAATTCGAAGACCATTGATGTGGACAAAATTTGCGTATGTCAGCTCATGAATTCATATGATAATGTCTGTACCCGAATGTTGTGCTACAACATATCCTTTTGTATTTTATTTGTAGTTAATTTTGCAACCAACTGTCACCAATGATAGGAACCTTCCGTCGAGACGACAATTTTACTTTTAGAATGTGATGAAATATTTTACTTATGAACTTAAACACGATTAATATCTTCAAATGGTAAAGCAATTTCAGTGACTATATAAATGCAGAATGTGTGACGCCAACTTTGTGACATGAAAAAAAAAACATGGACAAATTAGGAACAAAAATATTCTGTGGAGACTAACAATTGAACTGTCGAAATGTAATAAAGTAATCTGTCTATGTGAGAACTTTGATATGAAGTTATTGTTACAGAACTAATATTTGTAAACGATAATGATAATATAATTTTAAAAATGTACAATGCGATTATTCAATCATGCAAAATACAACTTCAACTAGTTTCAGACATCAAACCTATGTATGTTAGTAATGTTACAATGAGGTTGGAACATGTGGTTCAGTTATGCCAACTCTACTACAGTGAATGCATTTCTTGATTCGTATGGTACACTCGGATTTAAAAAGATTCAAAAGATTTCAAAAATCAAACAAATTAATGAATAAGAGTTTTAAAAATTTCAGATAAATATGACCATGTTGTATTTAACATTTACAAAATAGTAAGTTATAAAATAAAAATATAAACAATTTCTAATATCTAACATCTCAAAATGGATGATGAATTCAATAGTAATATCTTCTTGATGAATGAATGAAGAAGATTGATAAGAAGTTAGGATTTGTTAATAGTAAGAAGATGTGTTTATTTTATCTTTTCAAATTCTTTTATCTCTTTTTTTTTTTTACCTAATATAATAATCATATATCCAATATTTATAAATTATAATATACAAATTAAATCATCACTTAATGGCATTTAAATCAAGTATTAAATGGTCCTAAAAAATATATCACTAAGGGTAATTTGGACCTTTCACAAAAAAGGTGACATTACTGAGCATTGTTACTGAAAATGAATTTTTTTTTTTTATTATGAATTTTCAAATTTAGTAACATTTAAGAAAATTTTCCTTAATTTTAATTACACATTTTATATGATCCACAATTTTTCAACAGTATATTTTATTAACTTTCATCAAAATATACTAATAATCTAATTTTAATCCTCATTAAACACGAGCTAATATTAATAATTGACCAAGTTGTAGTTTAGAAAATTCAAGTGCGGTGGCGAGAATCATAAGACCGTCGTGATGGGTAACTATAGGGAATTGAAATTCCATCTCAAGTGGTTTAACATATTAGTAGCACAATATTTATATGCCCATTACATATTCATTCTAGATCCGTGCAAATTCGTCTTAAATGCACTATTTTTTGAGAAGTTCACCTTCAAAATTCTTGAGCTAGCTAGTAGGTCCATGATCTCGACTATCACCTCTTAAACTACTAGCTTTCAAGATGGCTCATGATTTGAATTTTAGACGCAACAACTAATAATTTTAAAATCATGAAAGAGATATCTTCATCGACAATCTACTATCGCTTTAAAAATGATCACACTTGATACATGCAATCATCCAGAAATTCTTCAACCACTCACATAATATTCACTCATTTTTTTATATGTAATTTAATAATAATCCACGTATTTGTTTTAGTATTACATTTACCAAATTATCACGTTTTATTTAAATTAGGTTCTTTATATTAATTTATATGAGTTTAGGGACCAAATCATGCAATTTCAATTAACATTACAATTAGGTCTCCAGTTACAGCTGCAAAATGTATTGAATTTGGCTATTGATTAATTAATAAAATTTATATTGAGTTTTCTCAATTTTCGTAAGTTATTTGATATTTTTGGGAATCAAAGAATTTATCAATAAGAATCAATGTTCAATATGTACGTGAATCGATGAGTCTTAAATTTCAACTATTCGATATTCTTGTAAAGAGTCAACGAATACTTGATTATTTTCATAGTTATAGTTAATTTGCTTTTGCTTACGTATGTTTAACTTATTTTCCAACGTGAAATGAAGAGTCAATAAACTAAAGCTTGTGTCACGCGGCACGTCTAAATTTATATTTAACATCAATCAAACAAGTATAAAACATTTAACTTGGTAGACGCCAGCACACATATATGGCTATCAAACACTTAATTTTTTATGTATAAGTAGCGGCCAGAACAACTTGGATCAAATAACTCTAGTTATGTTTATTGCTGAAAAATATGCATTAAACAACCAAATTTATTTTAAAATTTTTAATCAATCTAAAAATTATTTAATGATTAAAATAATACTACCAAACAATTTAAATAGATGTATAAGAACTTCATACATTTTTTCAATATTTCCAATAAAAAGATAAGTTTCAAAATCATAATCACGTAATGTAAATAATATAGTAGTTCAAATCTTATCTAACTCTATCAATATCCTCTTCTTCATCTAGTTCGTCCTCATTGTCACCAAATACAAAATCAATCTTTTAAAAATTGTAAAAAAATAAAATAATAATAATAATAATATATATTTCATAAAGCTCGCCTTAAGTGGTCAATACTGTCGTTGACCGCTTATTTAGTACGCAGGCCCCACGCCACACCTCGCTCATAGGTGCCATTTTGAACACTGATTTTAACCCAATAATTTAAACTTTAAAATGAAATAATTTTAAATACAATACTTTTTCTAATTCACTAGAGCAAAAATTGTAGGTAACAAAATTCAAAAACCAATCAAATTTGGACATTTGAAAGAGAAGTGATTGTGACCTATTAGGAAGATTAAATTGGATTAGTGGCCACTCGGTTTAGTTAGTATATAGTTTTGTGGAAAAAGACTTTGGGTGGGAATTGTTTAAATGCTTGATGACACTACCTCAATAATGATGGACAAAGATGTATAGGAAGTTTGATTTAGCATTTCCCACAAAGAATACGTCAACCAAAAAATATAAAATAAAATAGAAGTCGGAATTGCGACTTTCAGATAAAGAATAACAAAGAAAGAAGAGAGTCGGTTTGACCAATAGCGATTGATAATGAGTGAGCTGAGATCGACTTGATAAGTTTGAAAAACGAAAAAATATATTTTACAATAAAAATTAACCATTAAATTTTACATGAAACTAGGTCTGTTAAAAGTAAAAATTACTTCATTTTGAAGTACGAGTTCCATTTTATTAAAGAAGGGCGATTAGAGAAGGTAGAATTATTCAGAAAAATGTAGAGCAGGTTGGGATACTTAGGTTGTGTACAGGACACCAAATTAGACAGTATAAAGAATTTAGTACGCAATTAGAATAGATGGTATTAGGTGGATACTCGATAGTATTATTATGAATTTAGATTAATTATATTCTCTAATTTCTTAGTGAAAAAATGAATCATTTTTACTATCAATCGTATAACATAATTCAGAGAGAGAAGGTGAATTTTGATTTGAATAAAATAAAATAATATAATATAAATGATATTATTTGGAATAAAAATCAAATAATGAGCCGTGAGTACGTATAATGAAGTTCTTCTATAAAAAAAACGGAAGCAAAAACACCGTGAGTACGTATAATGAAGTTCAGGAGCTAAAGATCCAATTGCTGGGAATAGAACGCATCTAAGAAAATGTAACAATCAGTTCAACAAGTCAGAGCTTCATTGAAGAACATGGCACACTGCTATATAAGTGATGATCATCAGCCGCGATGATGGATATCATTACTCTCAATGATAGGGGATTACAGTATACAAATTAGTATTTCTAGTAGAAGTTAAATGACGTATAATAATGTAAGAAAATTAAAGCTTCTATATGCTACACATGACCTACTAACTTGACTAGAATCTTGTTTCCAATGAACTTATATTGGTTTGTTATACCTATTCGTAATTTAGACGTGTCGGGAAGAGTTCACAATAGTTGAACCAGTGTTAAGCAAGGCCAATAAGAGTGTATTCTGAATGCTACAGAGGTCCACTTGTGGTTAGTCTTCTACTCGGTCACCTACATGAACGAGAGAGCAAACAAACATGGCTAAATGCTTGCTGAGGCCCTAGCCGGGTTAGAACTCATGGTCTTATGGTACTGACACCAAGCACAAAGTATCACCACCTTGCATCTAGTACCAAGCATAGATGCTTTTAATGAAAATGTAATGATAAGATATTACAGTTGCTCATTAGTCATATCAGGCATATACGAGTCAAAAAATCAAAAGTAGTACCATAACCACCTCTTTCAACTGACGACTAATACCTTTTCAACGGTCCAACCACATTGAACTATAAAAGACACTCACGGTTACACCCCTCTCCATGCATACACATGATGTATTGTACAAGTGGCATTATTCTTCGTCTAACCTCACATGCTCTTGATGAGTAACAAATAACAATAGAGGGCAACTTCTAAATCTACAATGCATTGAAAGATTTTTATATGCACATTTCTTTGAACCCATAACTTACCACCCATTTATTATAGGATATTGCTACATGTACTTTAAGGTTTACATAAGGGATTATATAATGCCTACATGACACTCTACCATTTATCAGTTTAAAACATGGTAACTTTTTTATCAAATATTTTCCCTTCACATCATTTTCGATAACCACTTATGTATCATTTTTACATACAAGGAGCAAAATCCCTTATTATATACACATTCCTAGAGCCAACAACTTACAAGCACTTAGACCACTACCAAACAAGTACTTAGATTCTTGGACTCTAGGCTTCAGGAATCCTTTTCACATATTCGGAATATTAGAACTTTCAACGAGATAATTTTACAAGTTCTTCAATTAGTTTAGTCATCGTACGTTCCAAATGAGCCAAGTTCAATAAGATTTCAAGACAACAATAGTGTAAACAAGTTCTAACTGGCCACAATCAATCATACAACGAAAGGATATGAGTGCCACTGATTAGCATTATTGCTTATATTCAACATAGTCACAAAAACTTGAGATAAGGAAAGAGAACGCAAGAAAATGAAGAAATATACCAAATGATTCTCAATTCGACCAGAAACCAAAGGCATGATCTTCAATAGGAAATCCAAAGTAATAAGAGTTCGCAGACACACCAAGATAATCAGCATCGTCGATTTTTGAAAAAGCGTAAGCAGGTCGAAGTAATTCCTCATTCCAGTTATCTTCACTCTGAGATAAATCTGAATTATCAGGCTCGAAACTGTATGAAGAGTGAATTCCATCAGCATTATGGCGGCTATCTATTGCATCACTTCTGGCAGAGCTCATATCTTCACTCTTTAAGGCCACCCTTGACACTTTGGATTCTTCGTCTTCAGAAATTGTATCAGCAACAGATTTTCGTGATCCTTCAGGCAATTTTTGGTTATCACTCAACAGTGAGTTTCCATCCCCTTGATCTCCAACAAGCACATTCTCCGCGAGGACAAGAACCTGAACAATAATGGAAACATTCCAAAAACATTATCAAGAGTCACAAATTTTTGTCACCAACTTCATTTTGTGTCACTCAAGTTTTCTTTTTAGTTCCATCTGGTCAATCAGATAAAATTCATTAGTTTTTCTAATGGAATGTCCATATGTGGAATACAATGCCACGTCAAATTGCCATCTTCCGTGCCGAAAACTAAGTGGTTTTAAGTAAGTGACCAGACAGAGAACATAAAGAAAACTTCAACTAATACTTTGGAACAAGATAAAGTTTGTTACCGAACATGAAACTTTTAGTGGAAACAGTATTTTTAACCCGATTAATATTTATCACCTCAGCTTTTAGTTTCTCATTCTCCTTGAGAAGGTTATCATAGTCAATTTTCATGCGGTTATAGCTCGCTTCTAATGTCTCAAAATCAATTTCCAGCTGTTTAATCTTCCATCGTGCCCGGCGATTTTGGAACCATATTGCAATCTGTTGAGACTGCAAGCCGAGCTCCTTGGCAAGCTGAATTTTCCTCTCTGGTTTGAGTGTATTCTCTGCATCAAAGCTCCTCTCTAGGAACTCAACTTGGTCGACTGTAAGACGCCTCTTCTTTTCTGGCTGATTAAAATACTCATCCAAGTACTTGTATCCATTATCTTCTGGATCATAAGGATGAACAGTTAAGCTGGCTGAATTGCATGGTCCAGCAGTTCCTCCAAAACTAACCATGGATCTTGAGCCTAAAACAGAACTACTCTTATGAGACAATAAAACAAGAATACTGCGAGCTTAATGCTAGGCTAGAAAACAATGCTTTGCCGCATACTCAGACTGAAAATACGAGAAATAGTATCACTTGTAAGGACTACTAAATTGCACTGATTCTCCAATATAGCACTAAATGATGATGAGTGGTTCAAAATAGTCAATTAAAGCAACATAATCATCCAAAAAAAATTCAAAATTTGGAACCAAATCTCTCTGGAGAATGCAAGATGCGATTTGGGTGAGATCTAATCTTGATCCAACTTTCTATTCACTCATGGGATTCAGGTGGTTCGTTCTCCTCTAAAAAATATACAAGTCTCTTATCATTCTCTCTCTTAAATAACCACATAATTAAATTCTGAAATATGTAGTAACAGGGAACCAACCAACAAAGAAATTTTCAAGAAAATATTTTCCATTTAATTCATTCGAGAACATATTCACAGTCAGAAAGCTGCATCAATTATTCAATAAACATACCAATCCAAAATTCAAGAGTTCTCATACACAAAAACCTGTAAAATCAAACCTTGCATTAATCGCTCAGACTGAACATATTTTTTCCATCATTGGATGCACTATTACATTATATAAATACAAAATTTATAACATAAGAAACACAAAAGTCAACGCAGATTTATAGAGAGGTAATAAAATTATAAATCTCCAAGAAAAGAAGATGAAGAACCAGGAAAATGCATAGAATCAAGAGGCTGCCCATGATATGGAATTTTCAGTTTCCGTGTTTCAAGCAAATCACCGTTGACATCAAAACCATCACCAGCAACGCCACGAACGGCCCTCCAAGCCGCCATGTAATATTACTTTTCAAGAGCAGTATATTGATGAAATTTTCAAGAAATTGCAATATAAACCCAGCTATTTTTCTTAAATAATCCACCAGAGCTTTATATTTGGATATTGGGACTTTAACGAAGTGGGTTTTAGTTTTTGTGGCGGAAAAAGCTGGTGATGATGATCTCTGTGATGTGCGAAGTGTGGGAACACCGGCTGCTCATTACAGCCATCATCAAACCTCGATTTTCACAAATAATACAGACCAACCTTTTGTGTGTTTGTGTGAGAGACAAAGAAAGTCTATTGTATCACGCTGCGTTTTTGGGTCTGGGGGTGGAGAGAGACACAGCGCCAGATATGTGAGCGGCGACGAGAGAGAAATTCGCCGGTGGCTTGGAAGGGAAAAGGATGAAATGTGAGGAACAGACAAATGTCTCTGCCCTTCCCTGCCCCTAATTTATAACACATTTCTCCCTCTTTTTTTATATAGTACATTTTTCAATAAAATAATATTTTATATAAATTAAAAATTTGTACTGATTTTTCAATCATACTCAAACAAATATTAGTCCAAAATTTATAGGTAAATTTTATTTATACATAATTATTACACATAATAATATCCATAATCTGATATGACAGTCATCCGGTGATTGATATGCAAGTGTGAAATTTGAATAAAAAATTAAAGAGGAAATTTCACGTAATGTCCATTTTCAGCGAGTCATTTGCAAAAATATCCACAATTTTGTCAATGTCCATTTTCCAATTATGTAGACGAAAATACCCCTATTAGAAAATATTATTTCCACACAAGAATTCAGAATTTTCCATATCATTATTCATGTCAATCAACGTAGAAATGTCAATCAGCATTAAATGCCTGGGCCGGGTAGGTGTGGGTCGAGTAGGTGCGGGTTGAGTTGGATCGGTTATGGGTAAAAAATGGAAAACCTGATAGAACCCGACCCGAATACAAAAAAAAAAAAAAATGAAGGTGGGGGAATGAAAAAATAAAAGAAGCCCTAAACTAAGTCCTCTCAGCTCTCACTCTCAGTCTCTCAATCTTCACTCCGACCCAACCCACTGACAACAAGCCTGTCCATTTCTCTCTTATTTTCCCAGTTGTCGTTTGCCCACCACACTTCATAGTCCAGTGCTATAGAGTAAGTTTATTTCGTTATTTTTTTCACTTCCCCAAGTCTCCCCTCTTCCTAAATCCTAAGATTTAGCTAGTTTAACATAAATTGATGTCAAGATCACTGAGTGTCTCGATTCTATTGGGTGAGCAAATACTAACTGTTGATACAATTTGAGATAAAAAGTGGTACATGTGAGATACTGTCAAAAAGGTTAAAGAGGTAAAGTGTTTAAAGAAATCAGAAAAATGATTGTACTTTCTGTTGTCCCTGTTATTGTATCTTTTACTTTGAGATATAATCTATATGTCAACTAAATTTGATGCTGCTAGATGATAAATAACACTAGTACGAAGTGAAGAATACTCCATTTGAGGCATATTTCGCATCTAAGTTAGGCAATAAACATGATGAAATGACACAGGTTGTGTTGTTATTATACACTCTTAGACTATTTGAATGCTCATCAGCAACTAAATGGTTTCATTTTCGCATCAAATTTGTTCTGCATCTTGTTGAGGGTTGCATTTGTATATTGATGGTTTCTTATGGAGAAAGACTATGATAGGTTGATAGCAGATAGAAAACTTTGTCAAATCTTATGACATGTATACTTGATTTTGCGTATGGTCTGTTGTAGTTGGCTCTAAATTTATTTAATACAAGGCTATGTTGTTGTTATTTATTTTGCTAAAGAATATTGCATTTTCGGTTTATTTGCATATCTAAATTAGGCAATTAACTTAATGAAATTGTAGAAGATTGTGTGTATACTTTTGAACTGTTTGATGGTGATCAGCTATAAAATGGTTACATGATAGCTTCAGATCAGAATCCAGGTTTGTTTTAATTTCAACAATTAAACAACTTAGTTTAGATATGGTATTTTATCAAACCATTGTATTGTAAAAATCATTTTTCTTTCACTGCATTTTAACAAGAATGTTATATTTGATTTCATTTGTACGTTCTCATACTATTTGTTAAAGTATTGTTTTCATTTGTTTTGATTTGTAAATGAGTATGACACACTGATATAAAATTTTGGAGGAAGAACGTGTTCCGGCCCATGTGTCGCAAATGAGCAACACAAAATATATATCAGTTGTCCTCAACAAATTGGATCCACAGCAAAAGCGTCAGTTGGAGGACAGTTGTATAGGACATGTTGCAAGGTTATCGGAGCTGAAACTATCTGCTCAATTAATTCATGAAATGGTAAACAGATCGGTGGTATGCCAAAAGCGGTTTGAGGCTTGGTTCAAGGTGAACCAAAGGTTTGCACGATTTGGACTGCCGGAATTCAAACTAATTACTGGCTTGAAGTGCAGTCCAGTGCCGAAGTTGACAAAATCCTGGAGAAAACCCGTCTACAAGATAAAATATTTGCTAATATCGACCGGATAACGTGTAGCGACCTGGAGAAAGTTTTTTTGAAATGTGCCAATCGTAACGATCGTTACAAGCTTAGGTTGACACTAATTATTGAAGGGGTATTTAATTCAAGAGATCGAAATGTAGGAATAAATTCGACAGCTCTTTCATCGTTGACGACTTGGATTTTTTCAATGCCTACTCATAGGGGACAGTATGTTTTCAACTTCTCATCAAATCGCTACTACGTAGATGGGGAAGAAAGGCGGACATGGTAAAAGTGAATGATTGTGATAGGATGACTTACACATTGTACGGATTCCCTCTTGCTGTCCAGGTATACATCTATTTTGGTTCATTTCAGTTCTTCTATCGCTCATTGTTATTTATCTCCAAATATGGTTATTACTGTTACAAATGTCATGCAGATTTGGGCGAACGAGGCAATTCTGGAGTTGGGAGCTCGATTCTCGAGTAAGACTTGTGATGATGTCCCGAGGATGTTGCGGTGGTCTGGCACGAAACAACCTCATTCCTGAACATATTCAGATTTTTTTGAGAAGACAAATGTAGGCGATTTACATACTTAATTGCCTTACATTTCGCAATATATATTTTTTCATTTCGCCTATATTTCTTCTCCTGTAGGTGCACTTGTGGGCAACGCTGCGAGCAACTGCTGCAGAAGAATTGCAGCCGTACTTCGTCGATCTAGTTCCGTTGGAAGACGTAGCCGACCCCGTTCTAGATGGTCTTGTTGCTCAATCAATAGAAATACAAGTTTGTCCAGTTGAAGATGATTTCATACGAAACGATGACAACAACCATCGACCAAATAAATCCCAGAGAGGCAACAAAGGTGGACCTCGTCATCGATGTTTGCATCTCGTTGAAGGCAGAGAAGAAGAGCATGGGGATGTGATCGTTGAAAGACCTGTGTCTTGATGAGATAAGAGTTATCTTGAATGAACAACGGAAGGCATTTGAGAGCAAGATGGGGGATTTGAGGGAAGAAATGAACACAAGATTCGCTAGTCTCGAAAATGATCTGGGAGGTCATGTGTGTGGTTTGAGAAATCATGTCACTGATGAGATGAATGTTCTTTGACGAAGGTTTGATGAAGTTGCTACAGAAATTGGACAACACAATGTTGGTCCTGAGTATGGTCGATTTGGTCATGACGATCGCAGTGGAGACGAGCCCCGACATGATGTTTTCACTCCCAATATTTCTGCGGACAAACAGGATGTCGGAGAGGCAACCGAACCAGTTGTTTGCAATATCCCTGATGTGTCCATAACACCGGGAGGTGGGGTTGGAGTACTTGGGTCAGTATATGTTGCTTGTGATATTGTGAAAGAGGCACCAGCCGTTGTACATACAGTTGGTGTGACCATTGATGATCAACTGGTTCATGATAGCATCGTTTCTGGACCTTCGATGGCAGCTGATCCACCTACACGTAGACCTCGATCATTGAGGTTGAAGAAGGCTAGTGCAAATACAAAGACGTCATACACTCGATCTGGTCGCAAGAGGGTAAGAGGAATGCGTAGAATTTAGAGGTTCGCCTATTTTGATTTATACGGTGGTTTTTCAATATGTATTTTGGTTTATGTCGTGGTACGAAAAATATATTTTGGTTTAGACAGTGGTTTGTATATTTTTGTTTATATGGTGGTATGTAATATTTTGTGGTACGGAAAATGTATTTTGATTTAGACAGTGGTTTGCATATTTTTGTTTATATGGTGGCATGTAATATTTTGTGGATGCAAATCGGTAGTTTATAAGTTAGTGACATGATCCGAATGTTGTATGTTGAAAATAGTTTATAACTTTATTATCTCATACAGTGGAGTAGGAGATATCAATGTTCTAATGAAATGTGGAGAAATCCTGTGCTTTAGTTGAAATGTCGTTCTATACAAATGTATTGTCAAATGTCCAGATTAGTAGATATTTAATGTCGAGAACTACACGTCAAATGTCAAGAAATGAGTGAAATGTCAAGAAATATATTGTTTCAATATAAATGTTAACATCCCTTATATTTTTTTTTCAATAATATGTGAACATATGTGTCATTCTGTGTGATCATGTATGTGGAAATAAAATAAACTTCGTGCTACTTAGCAGTTAGTAAGGAAAAATTGATTAAATCGGTTAGCTTTAATAAATTAAAGAAATTTATCGAACATTTTTTTTACAATATAAAATTTGAATTGTACAAGACGTTAATTTTTTTTTTGTGAATATAAAATTTTAATGGAACAAAATGAATTAAAAAGAAATTTATAATTTGTAAAAAAGTTTCAAATTGCAACACAAGAAAGCTTAAAGAAACCATTGATATATATATATAATATTCAATTATGACAACACAGCAAGCGAATATATTCACTATATACATAATCTATCAACAACATTCAATTATTGTAACACAACAAAATGGTTCTGACATTTACTCACATGCACACTTTTAGCTACTTTTTCTCGTTCACTCATTATCCTCACATTCACTCACTCTTCATACGTTTTAATTAATTTTAGCTCATTCACTCCCCCATCCACACATTTAGCTACAATTATTTGTCAAATTCACTCACTCTCTACACATTTTAATTCAAGTTTCATTCTCACATTCATTTAGCCGGAAACATTTCCCACATTCACTCAAAAAAGATGCTCATTTGATCGGAAAAAGGTAAGTAATTCAAAATTTGTATTTAATATTGGTGCTACTTAGCAGTTAGTTGAATATTTTGAAAGAAAATATACTTTTAAACTACAATTTACTCGAAAAATCTCGTCTCCGTGTCACGGAGACGCTGCTCTCCATGACACTCACTCTCATAGTGTCACGGAGACACAGAAATGCAACCACCATTTTTTTAAATATGTTTTACGTCATATGTAAACAAAAATATT